TATGTTACAGAGCACCTGATTATGACATCGAACATGTAAACAAGCTAAATACACTACTAACATGGGCAGCATCCTGCCCACACGCTTTTATCTTCCTTGGTGACTTCAATCTATCTCATATTAACTGTACCCTAAACGAATGTACAACTGAACCCATACATACAACCTTCTACAATGCTGTAACAAATCTGGGACTGGAACAACTAGTAACCAATAATACTAGGCTTAACAACTGCCTCAATCTCATCTTCTGCAATAGTTTGAATTCAATTTACAGAATACAAATTAAAGAACCCTTTTCCAACAGTGACCACAACATGATTGACTTTTGTCTCAACATACGTCCACACAAAAATCATCACAATGACAATTCTGTACCTGTCAACAGTGGTGTCCCCCAAGGCAGTGTTCTAGGACCAACTCTTTTCATATACTACATAAATGACCTCTGTGATCGTATCAAGAGCAACTGCGTTCTCTTCGCTGATGATGTAAAGCTATTCAACACCACAGACAACACTGCTACCCTTCAAAAAGATCTTGACTATGTATCAGAATGGTCAAACAAATGGCAACTTCAAATCTCAATAAATAAATGCTCTGTCCTACATATTGGCAGAAAAAATCAGAAAAAAAAATACAAGCTAAATAGTTAAGACCTTGTTGAGAATCCAAACTTTGTCAAGGACCTTGGAGTACTCATCTCAAATGACCTAAGTGCTAAAACCCACTGTAACTACATAGCCAAAAAGGCATTAAGAGTTATTAATCTAATTCTACGTAGCTTCTTCTCTGGTAATATCACACTACTAACTAGAGCATAAAAAACATTTGCTAGACCTATACTTGAATACAGCTCATCAGTTTGGAACCCTTATTACGTATCTGATATTAACACAATTGAAAAAGTCCAGAAATATTTCACAAGAAGAGTTCTCTGCTCCTCTACTCATTGTAGAATACCTTATGCCACCAGACTTGAAACTCTAGACCTAGAAAACCTAGAACTACGCCACCTCCGGTCCGATCTAAATATAGTATATAAAATCATACATTGCAATGTCCTACCTGCAAATGAATTCTTCAGCTTCAATCATAACAATACAAGAGCACACAATAGATACAAACTCAAGGTTAACCGCACCAAACTTGACTGCAGAAAATACAACTTCAGCAACAGAGTGATCAATGTTTGGAATACTCTACCTGACTCTGTGGCTTCTTCCCCAAACCCCAAAAACTTTAATCTTAGACTTTCTACTATTGACCTCACCCCCTTCCTAAGAGGCCTGTAGAGGGTGTGCATAAGCATCCCAATCATGCCTACCGTCCCTGTCCTATTGTTTCTTTTTATTTTTATTTTAAGTATCTATCTCATGTATTCAAAACTATGTTTATTCTTATACCTGTATCTTGTAAGCAATTGACAAATTAAATAAATACTAAATACTAAAAATAAAAGAAAGCATGTTTTGCATACTTCATTTATTATCTTGATTCAAAATGGGAACCTCAGAAGATTCTTGACTGACTTGATAATAAAGCTAAAATCTACTTCAAATAGAAACCAAAATATATCAAGATTAATGTGTGACTCTTTACATACATCCTAAAACTCTCTCTCTCTCTCTTTTGACAATGGTTACCATGAAGATACCCTCTTAAGAACATTTGGAGCCAGGTTTTCCTCAGTGGCCCATCTCCAACGAATGAACCTCCTCTGTGATTACTCTTCTTATTGCTGTTATCCAAATTATATTGATTTAGTTGTTGTCTTGGTACTAATTCTCCAAAGACTTTTCTGGAAGCTTTCAGATTTGACAGAGACAGATATAAATATCTATGTTTTCACCTAGGTTTCACACAAAAGCATTGAGGGCTGAGGCCATGGCATTGGAAATCCATGGGTGCACATATCAGTCCAGAGAGAAAAAGTGAGGCTGAGATCATCTTCAGGGAAGGCAGAAAAGTGAAGACTTGGCTAAATTTTGTCTGAAATACAAAAGCTTTCTTCCACAACATCTTGCTTTTTATTTGAATTACATACAGGATTAAAGATTCCACCAGGAACACAAATCATGTTGCTATTTCAGTTACTTCTATGGGCCCAGGAAATCTGGGGAATGCTTAAGAACAAATGCCTCTTTACTCTACAGAGGGATGTGGTGGATCCAAAGAATCATTACAGGCTAGGAGAGCTTTCCATTGGTGGCATCATCTCTGCAACTCAGGCTCATTTTGAAAGATTACATTTCAAAAGCTCTCCTTTGACACAGGTATTGGAGTAAGTCAATCTTCCAGCATTGCATTAGAGCTACTTCATTTTTGATTTATTCAAAAGTTCCAGCAGATAGTTTTCCTTGTCACCTTTGGGGATCTATTTTAGATCCTGCATCTGATGAGGAGTCTCCTTTGAAATTCTGTAGTGGAATCTTCCAGCAGGAATTGGCTGGTTTTCTTGACTATGAAGAACAAACAGCCATTCTCTCCTTAGCATCCTTGGAGCAGTGATGGATTGTGGTAGCCTTGGAAGCCATATTTTATTTGGAAGCTTCAAGGGTGCCACATTTAGTGCCTGGGAATTTGGGAGGGGGGGTTTCATAGAGAGGTAGAAGATTAGACTCAACAACATTCTTCTCATAAAGTTAAGGACAAGTTACCCTGCACCTGGAGAAGAGTGTCTGGAGGAATGTCTCCAGTTGGGACGATGGTTGATTGGACCATGTGATGGACTGGTGGTGCAGGGGATGGAACTTTGATTTTCAATTGGAAAGAGAAATCCCGGAACTCTCACATTCGGGTTATCCCAGATGTGCCAATATGACTTCTTTAATTTTTTTTTTTACTTTGATGAACTTTGTTTCTGAGTACTGCACAAAATGGGCAGTTTTGTTGGAATGCTGACAGACTGTGGAGAGAGAGGAAAGGATGGTCCCCCAATCCTTCCTTCCTTCCCCCAATCAAGGCATCAACATAACCCATAAATGCAAGAATGCTATATTTTCCCTCCACTGAAAATGTGACAGTATCCTCCTTTTTGGGGGGGGAGGGGGCTCTTACATTCACTAGTAATATGATTTTTTTAAAAAATCAGAATGTATTATTTCATTGAGTTTGCTTGTCTGTGATTCTGATACCAAGTGCTTTACTCTCATTGATTTAATGTAGATTTAATGATTTAAATGTAGATGAAGTCTCCAGTCAAAAGCTTTCAACATAACTTTTCTTTGCTAAGACTCACAGCATCCCATTCTCTTTGTGAGTTTGTATCTGAATGTGCAGTTAATGATTATGTATACAGAGAAACAGGTCAAACAACTCCAATGTTAAATGCTGGATAATTTATTTAGAGAGAAAAGAGAGAATGTTTAAAGTCAGCCTGAAATCGTATATCAACTGCAAGGACAACCTCAAAAATAAGCCAAAGCTAATAATAAATAGATTCCTTTAGACATCAGTTGCACTAAGAAACTTAAAACAAAATCTCTCTATATAAAAATGGATGTGTGTGTGTGTGTGTGTGTGTGTGTGTGTGTGTGTGTGTGTTTCAGATTTATGCTGGAAGTGTTCCAGCATAACTCTGAAACACTTCGAGCAATTTCAACCAAATTTGGTATACAGATGACTTATCCTCTGGAAACAAATACTATGGGGGTAAGACACCCCTAACAACTCTTGGGGGGGGGGGTGCCTTAAAAACAATGGACTTGCCATGGTAACTCAAGAGAGCCTTGAGAGACAGTACAATACTATGAGGTCCAACTAAAGAATAAGAAAGATAGAGCTATGCAGTAGTGAGATTCAAATTTGTTTACTACTGGTTCTCTGGGCATGGCTTGGTGGACGTGGCAGGGGAAGGATACTGTAAAATCTCCAGTCATAGGTGCTATTTACCGGTTCTCTGAACTACTCAATATTTCCTCTACTGGTTCTCCAGAATTGGTCAGGACCTACTGAATACCACCTCTGGAGCTACTACATCTAGAGCTTCACAGACAGTACAATAATGTGAGTCCCAACTACAGGATTTTCCTGTCTAATACAGGATTGGGATAAATAAATACCCGCGCAATGCCAGGTTATCAGCTAGTGCAGTATAAATTGAAAGAATCCCAGAAATTCAATATGTGAAAGATCTAGTGAAGACTCTTAGTCTTCTTAGGATAGATAAAAGAATCCATTTAATGCCATATGTCATTAAATGCCCAAATCCTTAGAAAATCCTTAATAATATCAAACCTAGAATATGGCATCCAGTTTTGGTCACCATGTTACAAAAATGATGCTGAGACTTTGAAAAAGAGCAACTGGAGAGTACGGTTGCAGGAATTGGGTATGGCCTGCCTTGAGAAAAGAAGGACTAGGTGTGATAGTAGCAGTCTTCCACTATTTGAGGGGCTGCCACAAAGAAAAGGGGGTCAACTTATTTTCCAAAGCACCAGAAGACAAGACAAGCAAGATGGAAACTAATTAAGGAGAGAAGCAACCTGGAATTAGAGAGAAACTTTCTGAGGACGATTAACCACTGAAACAGATTGCTTTCAGAAGTTGTGGGTGCTTCATTACTGGAAGTTTTTAAAAAAAGACTGGACAGTCCCTTGTCTGAAATGGTATAGGGTCTCCAGCTTGAGCAGGGGGGGTAGACTAGAAAACCTCCAAGGTCCCTTCGAGCTCTATTCTGATTGAAATCTTGCTCAACCTGTCACTTATTCATGTAGTGCTGTTGAAATATAATTTGTTAGGTTTTATTATTTGATTTATTATTTATTTGATAGGGAGGCTCAGCCAATCTCATTTTACACATCTTGTACTCCGACAATAAAGGTTTAGATTTGAATTTGAAGTAGTACATGTTAATTTATGTGTTCATGCCATTTTTTTCAAGATTGCTATAATCAATTCAGATTGATTCTTAGGCAAAGATAATTAGAAATATATTTCTAAAAAGGCGTCAAATAAAATATTCTTTTCATTGTATGTTTAATATATTATCTTTGCAGGATGCAATTGACAGAATACTGGAAAATACTATCCTTTGTTTTAGCCATCAGAATATCAACTGGGATTCCCATATCTTACCCAACCTCATCCTAGGCTACAATATCTATGAAAATTATTTCGATTCAGGAAAGACTTCGGATGCTTTGCTGGACCTGCTCTCAGATGGGGAGGCCAATGTCCCCAACTACAGTTGTGGGAGGCAGAGAAACACAGTGGCTGTTCTTGAAGGGGCTGAAACCAGTGTCTCCATCCAGATATCATCCATATTGGGCACCTACAAAATCCCACAGGTGAGTCTTTGTTGGAAAGACCAGTTTTTATAGATGATAGATAGATAGATAGATAGATAGATAGATAGATAGATAGATAGATAGGTGGGTGGGTGGGTGGAGGGAGGGAGGGAGGGAGAGAGAGATGATAGAGAGATGATAGATAGATAGATAGATAGATAGATAGATAGATAGATAGATAGATAGATAGATA